GAGTGCACAATGTAAACATGAAACATATGCCATTACCTATATTGTACTGTGGTACAGTTATGAAGGCCCTTCATAATGCAGAGGTCAACTGCCTGCTCTGCCAATAGTTAGAAATGGCACTATAGTAAGCAGTGTTTAATAAACAGCTGTTTTTCTAAATTCTGCTGAGATGAAATTCAGTGCAGTCATGTATCGTGATACATATCGTATCGTGGCCTCTGTATTAGGGATGCACCGGTTGACCGGCCATAAATCGGAACCGGCCAGTTTTTTCTTATAATGCGCGATCGGCAACCGGACAGAATCGGCCAGTTTGCTTGTAAAAAAAATCGGTATCGGAATCGGCTATGAAAAATCATGATCGTGCATCACTACTCTGTATCGTGATACACATCGTATCGTGACTTTGCTGGTGATACACAGCCCTAGCAGCTACTACTGCTGACAAAACAAAAACTGTCAAGCGCATAAAATAAGCCCATAGCATCACAAATACGTGAGAGGGCCAAACAAGTATCTGATGTGAAAAGTAGAATATAGCCACTTCCAGGGGCTAAAGTCAGCCTATCAAGATTGAGCTTGGGGCCTCACAGCCCTGACCCTCCCCCAGGAACAACCTCTTCTCCTTAAAGTGTTTAACCAGATGGCCATCTCAACAACAGAAGCCTCCCATACACAAACACAAAGACAGGGGCATCTGTTTATGAAGCGCCAACATAATAAGCACAGTTGAAAGAAGACTAGTCAAAACCATACCAGCACATATAATGTCACTGCAAGATTTTAAATATAAATAAATGAATTAAAAAAATAAAATAATTCTAAATCGACCCCTTTAAAAGCATGATGGTTAAGAAATATACAGATGCTTCTCTGCATCACAAGACAAAAACAAATCAAACTGAAAGTGTTCTCGATGTCTTGATCAGAAGTTTTTAATCTGGTACATATTAAAATGACAACAAACTCCGGCAGCTATAAACAGTGGAGGCAAGGGTTTGTGACTCGTGACTGCAATAGAGTAGCGTCACAGAGCTACACAAACACTGTTTTTGTTGAACATTTAAAAACAGCAAAGCCTACTCAGCACTGGGAACCCCTTTAATTCAAACGGAACTGCATTTGCTTACACCAGCAGCAGCTGCTTTGACCCAGCTTTGTTAGTGCTGCCCAGTGTAGGCATGAATAGGAAAATCCCAGAAGGACGCAGGCTTCGGAAAAACCAAGCGCTCATCTATACAACTGAAAATGACTATAGAGAGAGGAGTGTACTTACTCACCTGTGTTGCTTCTCTTCAATGTCTTTGGTGGCAATAGCATCCAATTCTCTGCAAGGAAACAAACACAGATGTTCAATTAAGAATTTGACATTCACTTTTCATTCTCTAGTACATAAATGCTGACAAAACCAATATGATCAGAAGTTTTTAATCTGGTACATATTAAAATGACAACAAACTCCGGCAGCTATAAACAGTGGAGGCAAGGGTTTGTGACTCGTGACTGCAATAGAGTAGCGTCACAGAGCTACACAAACACTGTTTTTGTTGAACATTTAAAAACAGCAAAGCCTACTCAGCACTGGGAACCCCTTTAATTCAAACGGAACTGCATTTGCTTACACCAGCAGCAGCTGCTTTGACCCAGCTTTGTTAGTGCTGCCCAGTGTAGGCATGAATAGGAAAATCCCAGAAGGACGCAGGCTTCGGAAAAACCAAGCGCTCATCTATACAACTGAAAATGACTATAGAGAGAGGAGTGTACTTACTCACCTGTGTTGCTTCTCTTCAATGTCTTTGGTGGCAATAGCATCCAATTCTCTGCAAGGAAACAAACACAGATGTTCAATTAAGAATTTGACATTCACTTTTCATTCTCTAGTACATAAATGCTGACAAAACCAATAGTTATTACAAAAACATTTGACAATCAAAGTGGATATGGATTATGTAGCTTGACAATTTTAGTGAGGTGAATGCAAAGTTTAATTCTTGGACAGATGGCTACATATTGTGTGAACAACACTGAAGTGTGCAATGACAAGGCAACCTTTTTGCACCTTACAGTCTAGGAAAATAATAAATATAGAGCTAATTTTTCTTCCTAAAATTTTCTGTTTCATTACTGGTGAAATTGCAACTACAAAAGTAGACTAATGCAAGTGCCACATACTTATGTTTGTGGTTGCCATTGGACAAATCACATCATACACCACAATATGAAACCAAAATCAACTCAAAGCCTCTCGCCATATTTACACAGTGGGAAATGAGGGAAAGATGGACGGACACACTTCTAATTGTAAATCAGAGTAACCGGGCATGAACAGCAGTCTATAATATTCAACCAGACTGCATTCTTTAGATAACCTTACTTTTAGATAAAACAATACGTGATTAATAAAGAAAAAGACTTCTCAAAAACAAAACCAGTGACTCAGTTTAACATTAGGTATACTTTATTTACACGGTTAAAGGCAGAGAGCAGCGAGACCTCCTCCCCCACCGCTGGATTCAGCTGCTGCTAACGGGGCAAACCAGCAACCTTGACCTGCCCTTACAAAACATTACAATATAACACACTCAAAACATGTTTCTAAACAACTTTTACTCTGAAAGAGCGACTTTGTGATGTCTATTTTCTTTACTCTGGTCTGGGAGAAGGAAACAGCTTTTTCTGTGGCATTTTTCATCGGTGTTAGCTGCCGTGACAGCGAAGCTAAACACAAAATAAACATAATAAACATAAGTTACGTTAACTGCTAAGTTAGCATTTAACGCTCGGCACTCCGTGAAGTTATTAAAGCGAATAAAGCGTTTATAATGAAAGCAAACTGGTTATCCGATTATTAAATATCATTTTCCTTGATGTGCGCAATTCAGCAGCTGGGCTAAGAGTGCTAACAAACCAGCTGGTCACTAAAGCCTGTCTTTTAACAACTTAACGAATCAAACACGGTTTTATTAATGCTCACTTTAGCCGAATTGCGACACAAATTGCATTTTTGGTTGAATTATTATGGATCAAATGCTGCTTGGTAGCAACTAGAAAGCGAGTCGACGTCGACAAAAGTTGCAGGACGCTGAATTAAACATTTACATGAAATCAACGTATTTTCAAAATACATTACAGAAAACGGTCCCAGAACGCATGAAACCTCATGTTTAAACGCTGTGCATTCATAAACTCGACTTTTATATTTGTAAACACGTTAGACACACTTAAAGAAACCGACTGCAATGTCACTTCGATGCCATTATGTGAAAGCTGGAGATCAATGTTCAAGAAATGTACCACACAGAGATGCATTTGGCTTTTTAGACAATGCAGACAGTAGACACAATTCATAAAAACAATCAAATTGTTTAACTATCATGCAAACAACACGGTAAAACATTCATCCGTGCCTCCACTGCTGAGCTCAGCTTAGATATCGCAGATACGCTGCTCGATCATTTATACCGCTTATATGGTTAAAATCACAAACATACACACGAACAAACCGCAAGACTCACCTCTTGTAGTTTAAAGTGCAGTAGAGATGAAATGAAAGCAAATCATAAGGCTATAGAAATTCAACACATTTGCAGAGTCTAGGAGGGGAAACATTTGTCCTGCTCGATCGCCATTTTCTTCTCTCGCATTCATGCATTCATCCCTGCAACTGCAGGAAGAGCTCAAGCGCTGCTCTCAGAGCACTTCCTCCAACTCTACACACTCACCTCCAAAATGGTGGCCACAGAGAGGACGTGTTTCAAACCCTAGTGAGCTGTCTAGCTAGACTGCACTTTTGGGCTTCGCGAACAGGTGAGGCATTTTTGGACATCGTAGGGAACTCTAGGGGAATTGAGAAATAAGGTTATAAAACAGCTAAGATGAGTGACACGTGAGCTTAGCTGATTTAAAAGCCCAAAAATGCTGTCTAGGAAGGCATCTCACTAGGTTTCGAAACGCAGCCAGAGCTGATGGTTAACCGAGACTCGTCATGGTGGCTTTGCCGGTTCACTAATGTTAGATGTGTTTTGCCAACGATATAAATTAAAAGTTTGGAGGGAACAGTAACTGGGTTATAATGAGAAAATTATTATATGACATGAAAAAAAAAATAGACCAGGTAATCCAGAATAATGCCATTAAGGAATATTTCATCCAAACGGATGGGAACTTTAACATTTAGACCATAGGTCACCAAACTTGTTCCCGGAGGGCTAGTAGCCTGCAGAGTTTAGCTCCAACCCTTATCAAACACACCTGAACCAGCTAATCAAGATCTTGCTTGGTATACTTGAAACTTCAAGGCAGGTGTGTTGAGGCAAGTTGGAGCTAAACTCTGACACCGGCCCGGCCTCCAGGACCGAGTATGGTGACCCCTGATTTATACAGACAGTTTAAGAAAATAAGATTGTCATGCTGAAACCAGCATAAATTTTAAGGACAATATGGGGTAAAAATAATCCCATATATAATAAAAGTAAATAATACAGGCTATGCTAAAGCAATCAAATACATAGCATTTGCTTTTGTTAAAGGGGTCATATGCGATTTCAATTTTTCCTTTCTCTTTGAAGTGTTACAAGCTCTTGGTGCGTAAAGAAGATCTGTAAAGTTGCAAAGACTAAAGTCTCAAATCCAAAGAGATATTCTTTATAAAAGTTAAGAGTCAACCACGCCTACCTAAAACGGCTCGTTCTAACACGCCCCCACATGTCTACGTCGTTATGTGGGAAGATTTGCATAACACCACCCAAATGTTCTCGCAAAGAAAGAAGACGTAACTTTTATTCTCGCTGTAGTATTGTTGCCACCGCTGCCATGTCGTGAAGGCGCTGTGTGTTTCGTTGTGAAAGCGAAACTACTTTGTTTGGCCTTCCAAAAGAGGACACAACTAGAAATCAGTGGTTAAGTTGTATTTACAACACTGTTCCAGAACAGTTCAACCTAAATATTCAGATGTGTGCAGCACATTTTATGGAGGACTGTTTACTGATCCTGGGAGAGTAGACTACAATGCCGGCTGTTCTGACGTAAGTACGTTTTTTTTATATTTAAAGCGAGTTTTTTGCGCAGTGTAGAGTAGCACTTGTTGTTTTTCATTTCTCCGATCACAAATGCAGACATGGTTTTATGTTTACGTCGCGCGATGCAGCGCAACGTGTAAAAAGACAGTATAAGTCATTATAATCCATAATTAAGTCCCCACTGGATGCAACGAATGCCTCGTTTATAATGGGTTTCAATGTTTTTGTCTCGTCGCTCCATCACAGTATGGTAAGGGGCATAACATTTCCGTCACACGCTTGAGGCATTCAGCCAATCACAGCGCACTGGATAGCTGTGATAGTTATATCAGAACACACCTCGCTTTTCAGACCGATGAGCTTTGTAAAAATCGACGGGCGGGACAAGGCATCACAATATGGTAAGGGGCGTAACATTTCCGTCACACGCTTGAGGTATTCGGCCAATCACAGTGCACTGGATAGCTGGCCAATCACAGCACACCTTGCTTTTCAGAACAATGAGCTTTGTAAAATTCGACGCGTTTCAGAAAGGTGGGGCATAGAGGAGAAACAATAATGTACAGTATGTGGAAAATAATGTGTTTTTTGAAACTTAAACTGCATAAACACATTTCATTACACCAAATACACAAAATAATGTTCTTTTTAGCAACATCATATGATGCGATTTCAAGATTTGCTTTCTCTTTGGAGTGTTACAAGCTGTCCGTGAATAGATAAGATCCATATCCAGGGATCTTATCTATTCACAATCAGCTTGTAACACTCCAAAGAGAAAGGAAAACTTGAAATCGCATCATATGACCACTTTAAGAACTTTTCTGTGAATAAACTCAGCTGAAACACTTTTAGGGAAACTATCTAGACAAAACAGATTCTTCATTGTTCAGTTGTTTGTTTACAGTGAATACCTTCACCATTGTGAAATTCTCTTTCAGCACAAGGCAACAACACCAACCAAGTGCAAACTAGGAAAAACCTAAATAAATCTACAACAATATAGACAGACCAGCTTTTAGTCTGGAATTTGCCTGCGTTTTCACTTTGAAGACAAAGCAGCGGCACACAGTTGAAAACGGCTCGGATGCGCTGTACTTTTGAAGCGCTCATTCTGCCTCACTAGGCAGGAATCACACAGATTGAGCCACTTTCAAACTGAAAACAACCTGTTTTAAATGTATAAACTTGATCGAGATTTTACATAACATTTTAATTTGAGTGTCATTGCACAAAAGTAGGATACCAAAAATACATGAGCAGGTAGAGCCACATTCCATTGAGTTCAGAGGTACAACGCACAGCTATTTTGCATATTTTGTAAGGTTTTGCTAAACAATGTCAACAATCGCTTGTATGAAACCACAGGAGAATAAGCCCTTTGCAATTTCAAACATTATTTAATCATTCACTTTTACATGGTCTAATTATAAAGCTCTTTAATAGGGTTATATATCTTTTAAAACCAAGAATATCCTTTCATTGTCATTCCAAATATTATGCGAGTCATATTTTGTCCGTTTCATCACAAATGTCTTAAAATAAGAGAGTAACTTCGCATAGTGCTCGGGACAGCTCAGGCCTCGGCGTCTGTGGTATTGAGAATGAATTTTGTATGAGGCATGAATATTGATGATCAGTGGAGGTCCGGGGCCAGCTGCTTGTGAGTGAGTTAGCTGCAGTAGGACAAGGGTCAGTTTGGTCAGGCCAGTGGGCTGCTCTCCCCCCTCCCAGACCGATGAGAGCAAGGGGAGCCTGGGAACGCGGGCAGATGCATTGTGCTCGGGCAGACAGGGCAGGAGGAGGGGAACAGCTTTGCATGACAAATACATGGCTGGCTTTGGCTTTCAGAGACTCACTTCTAAACTCACTTAATAGTGAGCTCTGTTGCGCTGGTGTTATATTTCAAAACAGTCTAAATATGCACAACATTTTAATCAATGAAACTTGCAATTTGGCAAAATTTGCAGAAAAAAAATCACAAAAATATGCTTGTGCAGATGTGACGTGACATGTCACTTGCATTATTTGCCTTCCCCTCTTTCGTCTTTACCTCTGTCCCCCTAATCCTCATTATTCTCTGGCCCCAGATGTACCAAGAGTCTCACCAACAAGGGCGCTATTTTTCATTTGCTCTCGCCCAATTCCTACACTACCCCATCATTATATTCAATCTCTATCTGTCTCTCACCCATCCCCCTGGAGTGACTCTCTCAGCCAGGGTGCCAGCTGTGAAAGGGATTTTGCGGAGCTGAATTACACTCTGCATCCAACCAATTACCTGTCCGACCGTTTACAGGTCAGCCTGCACTGCCATGCTTCCAGGCTCGATTTATCTATCAGACCACTATTCTGCAAGGCATTTATCATGTTCACACAGCCATGCGCCCTGTCATTTATAAATGTTAATACACACCACTGCCTCATCAACTGTTAAATCTTGAGAGTAAGAGACCATTTTTGCTCTGTTGTGCTAGTTTATAGAAACAGTCAGCGTCATATACGTAGCTCATTCATATAGCTTGGTTTACATATGTTTTTAAAAGAAGTCTCTTATGCTCACCAAGGCTGCATTTGCTGAACAAAAATACAGTAAAAATACCAAAATTTAAAAATTTTTTACAACTGCAATCATTACTACGGTCTTCAGTGTCACATGATCCTTCAGAAATCATTATAATATGCTGATTTGCTGCTCAAGAAACATTTCTTAATATTATTATCCACATTGAAAACAATTGTGCTGCTTAATATTTTTGTGGGAATTTTCCTACTTTTTTCAGGATTCTTTGATAAATAGAATTAAGAAAGCTTTTGTAACATTACATGTCTAAGTAATTTTTCAATTTAATGAATCCTTGCTGATTAATTTCTTTCAAAAAAATCTTATTGACCCCAAACTTTAGAAAGACAATGTTTTTATCTATTTGTATATTATATTATATTATATATTGCCTAAAATAGCACAATATATATAATCTAGAAGTATTCAGACAGCAATGGAATCAGATTTTAATATCATGGTATTGTCAATAATGCAAAACAGTTAGAATTTCACTTTAAAGTGTTCTATCAGAGAAAGGTAACTCATATATAGTAACATCTAAGACTGTATGTTAAAACAAAATTTTTTTTTTCAATCTTACCAATTTGATTAAGACTGCAAAATATATTTTTGGAGCTCCATGCTTTAACCTTTGCATATTTATTTCTGGTGATCTCGGTCTTCACAGCTTGACTTGTTTCAGAGCCACTCCAGTCACGTAAAAGCAATATAAAGATGCAAATGACGCTCGGAAGAGCGATCTTATTGTCATTCATGTATGCATGTAGTATATATTTTAGATGGAGGCATTTTCACCTAGAGCTGCTACAGCTCCAGTCAAAAACTTTGCTCCGGTCCAAATAAGACTCATTTGCATGTGCCCATCCGCCCTCATCTCAATAATTCACACCTATCTGTGTAATGTATTTCATCTGCAAGGCATGCATTTGAGTTTAGACTTGTGAAGT